AAAACGAGAGAGATAAGAGCGGATTGACTGTGGGGTGTAAGAGAGTTCGAGAAACCCCTCCGATCTTCAAAATATTCCAAGAGGTGAAAACGCCCCTCAAATATTACAATATTTGTTTATTTAAAAAACGGTTAGTCTTTCGGGGAAACGCTTGAACAACGCATAAATTATTACTTACTTAAAAAAAAAAAAAAAAAATTTTAAAAAAAAATCATACAGGGCTTTCCAAAAAGTTTGGTATGGGGCGAAAATTTAAAATTCACAGAATTCTGCCGCTTAAACTGCTTGAACGTAAAAAGCTTATTTTTGGCAAACGGATTTTTTCGAAAAGTCAAATTCCAAACGAGATGAAACTACCCAAAATATTACCAAAAAGTAAAATAATATCGCCATCATTGTTTTTCCTCATGCTGACCATAAATGTGAGAAAATTTTATCCAGTTGTATGTTAATAGAAATCCGCTGCTTTGCTTATCATCACCGATTACAAATGATTAATTCAGAAACGCGAACAAAGCCGCGAAGACACGCAGTTAACTAAAAATGAACAAGCTACTTCATCACTAAGCCAGCTGACCGCCGTTTTTTTCGAATAATACAGTATATTTTTAATTTTACCTGAGTATTTCCCATGCATTTTCAACGTTATCGTTCTGTCTGCCGTATCTTCTTCTGGAATAATCCCTAAACCATTCACTTAAATTTGCCGGTTCAGATCTCCAGGCGGTCTCAGTCATCAGATCGTAAATAACGTAGTTTTGATTTATACCCTCCATGGTCAATCCCGTTCCAATCATTGTCGAATTTTCCGAGTTTCTTGTCTTTATTACTTCCTGAAATAAAACGATATTGCTTTAGGGGTGGAATTCTATAGGAAATTATTTTTTATATCCATAAATACCGTGCTGGCAACTGTTACTTTTGGCGTCGGTATTTACATTGATGAAGTAAAGTCGACATAGGAATCGTATTAAGTCGGTAGTGGTTAGAGAAATGCGACGGTGTGCTGTTGCGTTGTTGCCTGTACGCCTTTCCCTATCAATTTAAAGTAAATCAGATTCGCAAACCGTGTTATTTTTAAGACTCTTTTTTCGAAAAGGTGTCGAAGCATTAATGGTGGTGCGTTAGGTTCACCAGAAAACGTCAATGTAAATCGAGATAATTTAAACCAAACTTTTTTAACACATTAACGCCATAACTTAAAAACCATTTTAGATATTGAAGCTTTTTTGTTTATGAAGAATCGGAAATCATTTACCATTATGTTTACATAAAGAAAAATTCGTAAAAGGTTGTTTTTTTCCATTCTAAAATTTAAACAGCCCAATCATTTACTTTTAGTGCATAACAAGTTTCAGCAAATCGTGTAACTTTTTTATTTAATGACAAGATTTTTGCAGAAGAAGTTTTTGAAAAACTACAATCTATTACTTCTAATAGATTTCGAGATATCGATTTTTGAATTCAGAGTTCCTAAATAGCGACCACTGTCGAACACGAACTCAATTCCACTTATTTTTCCAAAAACTTTAAAGAGTATAATATAATAAATTTTAAAAAAATTTCTTCAAGCTATAGGGAAAATTACGAATCGACTGTTAACTTAATAAATAACAAATAAAGTATTAGAGAAGTATTAAATGCGACGCAATGATGTACCTTCCTAGAACGTTAAGTAACTCGGCAGACAACTGACAGAGGTATTGACTGGGTCGACCGGTCAGCGACAATAATCTGCTATCCCCTTCCACGTCTCTTAGCAATGTGCACAGTTTCTCGGTTTATTTCATACGTTTGGCAACGTGTTTACTGTTCCATCTTTGTTCAGTACATTATAAACGCTTTGTACTCTTCTTATATAAGGAAATCTCGACCCAAGACTAACCTTTGCCAGCCCTTAGTAGGATCATATAGAGTATTAATTGAAATATTAAATTGCTATACACAGATTGTCTCAAATTTGACGCATTTTTGCGATCTAGGATAAAACAAATGTTTTTCCTACATTAATAACTGCCTTGAAAAATAAAACGAATTAGCAACAGTGCATTTTAAAGATGGATCATAATGATGAGCAAATACAAGACCGAGACTCCCTTGATCTTGGTCTTGCAGTTAATAAGTAGTCTTGGTCTTTTTTTTTAATAAATTTTTGTTCGATTTTCTTTGAACTTTTTCTATCTAATATAAGTTGTATGCATCTTCCGATAGCGTAGATTTCTGCCTGTAATATTCTGGGGTAGGCTGTCCAGCCGAAATACTCCTATTGTTTAGTTAAATATAAAGTTACAAACTAAAGATTGAGGTTTCTCTAAAAACTTCTATAAACTCAGGCTGAAATACCCTGTATATGTATGAGATATTATTTTTTTACCGTATTGATGATATCAGCTGAACCATACATTCCAAGCGTACCACCAAAATTGTGTAACATACACCAAATATAGGGCTGTCCAAAATACTGCTCCATTCGATCGTACTGAGGAAATTGTTCTGATTGAAGATCCAATACGATCATCTGACCCTATTTGAAAAAAAATCAGGAATATATTTATTTTAACATTGATTTATTATAAAAAAATATTATTTATTATCCTCACAACAAGACACACAACAACACTTGTGTTTTTTTATATTCAAAATGTTTCCCTAATGTCAAAATTATCAAACATAATTATAGGGTATTTAATGTCAGTAACGTCAACATTACAGAGAGAGGTAGATATTTGGTTGAAAATAAAAAGAAACAATAGATAAACAGGCAGTGAGGAAATTGTTCTGATTGAAGATCCAACACAATCATCTGACCCTATTTGAAAAAAAATAGAGAAATACATTTATTTTAACATTGATTTATTATAAAAAAATATTATTTATTATCTTAGACACACAAGAACACTTGTGTTTTTTATCTTCAACATGTTTCCCTAATGTCAAAATTATAAAACATAATATGTGTGTGTGTGTGTGTGTGGTATTTAATATGTCAGTAACGTCAACATTACAGAGGTAGATATTTGGTTCGAAAAAAAAAGAAACAATAAATAAACAGGCAGTAGGACAAATATACACGAACATATACAAAAATTCATCCACAAATTAAAGCTACAGTAATTAAAAGCATTACAAGTAACATTTTTTTAATTATTTTTTATTTACCGTTGGTACACTAGTCAAAAACTCTCCGCCCTAGTTGTGTCGTTCCAAAACGCGTCGTTATAGAACATCCAACCTTGTAACACCTCTGTATATAAGAAAAATAAAATATTATAATGATATCAATAACTTACTTTAGGCACTGAAGTTAACAAGGCTTTGGCTCTGCTTCTCGTCCAGAAGAATAAAGAATGGACGAAAAGCCATCCTTGCATCACCCTGTATATCAGAAAATATGTACATATTTTAATAAAATTGGCACTACTCTAGATAGGTACTAAAATTACTAGATAAAACGGAAAGTATTTAATAATACTAAGTTATACATAATATGTAGGTATATTAATAGTGGTTTCTGGATATAAAATTTATTTAAAATTTTATAGTTATTTGTTTATTAGTGACACAAATAAAAGCCAAATAATTAAAAAAAAAATATAAATAAATAAATAAATAAATGCCTTTATTGTCAAAAAATTTTTCAATTTGTAGACAAAGGTAAACTAACAAACAAAGTAAAAAAAAACAAGGTACACAAACAAACAAACAAAAGATAATACAAAACATTATACAAATAATATTGTCAGTCTTATTGTTAAAATAAAATAAACATTGAAAAAACACAATTGTAAACCAAAACTTACCAAATTGCTTCGGGATCAGCTTGCCTCATAGCAGAAAATATACTCTTACCAACGTTGGATAAATATGTCAAATCGGTACTGCTTGGTTCCATTTCATTGAAACTGTCACAATTGTACACGTGATCAGTACCATATTCTGCAATTTGCTATAATTTAAGACAAAAAGTTCTTATAATGTAACCTTTCTCAACAGAGTTTTATTTGATTTTAATTAAAGAAGAATTTTCATCATTTTAATCATGTCTTCTCAAACTTATAGCAAACTGAACTTTGAAAAACACTAAATTATAGTGTGTACGTACTTCTTCAATAAACATTTTTCCAATAGTTTGAAAAATATCTTCTGTGGGATCTATAAAGTACGGACAACAAAACCTATCTGCGAAATTATTCCATTTTGCCATGAGAGTCATGTTGGTGTCTGGAAACAAACTAAAGACTTACTTATTTACACCCTGTATATTACTAATCTGATATTTACTCATGGAATGCTCTAGGTACATGTCCAGCAAATGCAGGAAGGATTGTTATAACGCCAAAGTCTCTAAGTCTGTCCAAGATCTGGTGCTGAAGGTTCAAAGATCTGTCATGCCAGGAATCAGAGAGTGGTCCTCCCCATCCACGGAGATTGCCCATTCTTAACCTAAAATAACCATTGTTTAAAGCTAACAAAGTCCCAGTAGATGACATGCCAAGTGTAGTACCGTACGATCGAGAAAAAAACGGCGTCAGCGATGGCTATGAAATGAAGATCGTTGTCATTTTATATGTAAAACTAGCGTATACCCGCGACTTCGTTCGCGTCGAATTAATCATTGGTAATGGTGATGATAAAGCAAAGCAAGAATTACCATTAACATACAAACTGGATAAAATTTTCTCATATTTATGTCAGCACGAGAAAAAACAATATGGTAATATTAATGTATAACTTGGTAATATTTGAGGGGTAGTTTCATCTAGTTGGAATTTGACTTTCGAAAAATCCGTTTGCTAAAAATAAGCTTTTTACGTCAAGCAGTTTAAGCAGAATCGTGGTTAAGAAATTGTCCAACTTTTTGGAACACCCTGTATGATTTTTTAAAAAAATTCAAAATATGTAAAAAAAAACAAATAAATTATGCTTGTCCAAGCGTTTTCCTGAAAGACTAACCGTTTTTTAAATAACAAATATTGTAATATTTAAGGAGCGTTTTCACTCTTTTGGAATTTGAAATTCGAGAAACCCCTCCTTATCAAACCTCTACACACAAAAGTCAATCCGTTTGCAAAAAATCAGCTTTAAACGTCAAGCAGTTTAACAGAATCGTGATTACTCAATGGTCATATTTTATGAAACCCCTGTATAAATTTTTAAAAAAATCTTAAAATATGTAAAACAACAAAATAAAATATACGTGTTTAAGAGTTTTTCCGAAAAACTCACCGGTTTTTAAATAAAAAATATTCTAATATTTGAGGGGTGGTTTCACCCCCTTAGAATTCGAGTTTCGAAAAATCCCTTCTTATGGAACCTCTACACCCTAAAGTCAATTCGTTTTCCAAAAATCAGCTTTTTACGTCAAGCGCTTTAAGCAGGATCGTGGTTAATCAATGACCTGATTTTTCGAAACACCCTGTATATTTTTTTAAAAAATCTTAAAATATGTAAAAAAAACAAAATAAAATATACGTTTTTAATCGTTTTTTCGGAAACTTGACCGTTTTTTAAATAAAAAATATTGTAATATTTGAGGGGTGGTTTCACCCCCTTGGAACTGGAATTTCGAAAAGTTCCTTCTTATTGAACTTCTACACCCTAGAATCAACCTGTATGCCAAAATTAGGCTTCTTACGTTGAGTGGTTTGAGCAGGATCGTGATTAATCAGTGAGTCACTTAAGGATTTTATCCTTTTAAGGGTCGTTTAACCTTTCCGGGACCGTGCGGGATATTTTAGGTACCCCAGATGCGTTTTTTCTTTAATAACTTTTACAATTTTTATTTCTCACTTTTTTCCTATCAGGGAATCCTAGAATATATATTACAAAACCCTTTTTTAACAAAAATAGCCAAATAATTTTTTATTTTCGGCGAAAAACTGAAATTTACTGCCTGGGGTACCTCCGTTACCCCGCACGGCCTACTTTGATTTGAAGTCCTACGCGCACTATTCATGTTTTTTCGTGTTGGTGACTTTGTATGAAGACGTAAACAAGTTCCATATTCAGTTTAGTGTTGGTATTTACTGTGATGTAGTAAGTTAGTGTGTGTATTTATTGGAAAATGGCGCAAAAGGAATATACTGATGATGGGCTAACAAAAAATGAATTCCTGCCGAATTCGCTTCGAGAGCTGCGAAGAGCAATCCTTCAGCACAAAGACTTGTACTTCTAAAAGTTCTAAGAAGTATATAAAATAGTAACAAGTTTCACAAAACTGTAAAAGCAGCAATAAAATTATTTCTTGCCAAAAGCACAGTTCCTATAAATCCTGCTAAAGAGATTCAACCTAATTCAAACCAAAGATGTGGCTTTTGCGCCAGATCACGTATGAAAAACAGAAATATTATGTAATACATGCAAAAACCCCATTTTTAATATTCTCGGCAAAGAATGTAAAACGTTTTTCTCTGACTGCCAAAATAATGTGTAGAAAACTAATAAGAGTTTAGTTTTAAAATTAAATGTTTTTTATATTAAACAAATACAAAATATTTAAATTATTGACGTTTTATTGTTAAACTTTACAAATAATTACTAATAATTTACCTGAGTGACAAAATATTAATAGTTTTTGAAATATTTCAGTGGGGTATCGTAGTTACCCCACACGGCCTGAAACGTAACTTTTTGTAGCACGGTCCCGGAAAGAACAAAGTTCAAGAGGTAATATACTTTTTTTATTTTTAATCTTCGTTTCATAGCCATCGCTGACGCCGTCTTTTTTTCGATTATTCTGTACTTACCAAGATAAAAATGCTGGTCCAGAAAAATGTTCGTCAATATCCGTATTTGTCAAATTCAGTTTCTGATAAACCCTCTTCCATATCGCTTCCTGTCCATTAAATGCCAGTACAAAATTGAACGAATTTAGTACAATCCAATCAATGTGTTTCTCCCACTGTGTCCAGTCCCACCAAACAAAACTGTAGCTTGTAGTACATACATTTTGGTAGTACCGATACCTAAAAAAATGTCGTCATGGTAACCATTTCTTGAAAGCCTATTCCTATTTTTTAATAATATTTTTTTTCCTAAAAAAAAAAAAAAAAAAAAAAAAAAGAAAATAGTAGATAAAATAGTATTTTAACCGCAAAGGGTAGAATTAAATGTATAATTTATTTTTTTTTTTTTTTTTAAAAACTTATTTCTTCTCGCACGGATCTTTAATGTGCTTCATTTTTTGGAGTTATTGCGGATTTAAATGGAAGTATTTTTGATATGGCGTTTGTCGTCCCAGCTCTGTAAACTGTTGGTAAAATTTACTAAATGTCCTGGCCATTTTCAATCAGCAATCGACATGAGAGAGAATTAAAGAAATATTGACTCAAAACTGACCAACTAAAAGACAGATTTATTTATTTGTAAAAGTTACATAGAACCAACGCCAAACCAGCAACAATATTGTCAAGGTGTAGGTGGCGCTAAATTGTATTGCTGGTTGCCTACGTAACCGCAACGTGCATTGCTGGTTTGCCCTACGGTGCATTGAGGAACCTAGCGAATTCGCCAAAAAGTGAAACACGTTTTCGTTGAAGCTAAGTGCAAAAGCGAATCGGGCAGCAGTAGAATTTTCCAGTCTGCAGAAGTAGAGTTGGGCGGTTATTGGTAAAAACCGGTTATAGGTAAACCGGAATTATCTTTAAAAAAAATAATAACTTGACAAAAAATATAAACCGACACAAAATTAACCCGGTTATTCTTAATAAACCTTAACTAGCTAAATACTAATATTATTTAGTTTTTTCCTATAGGTTTACTAACCTCTACACTCCATATGTGTGGTCTACTTCAATTTTAGATATATAAACTTAGTTAAATCGCACGATTAATAGAGATTGTAAGCAACTGTAAGTATGGTAATGTAACAAAATGGAATTCTAAATTAAAAATGCTAACCTCACTTTTTGAGTAGACATTGGATATGAATATTAAATAGTAATACTTAACGTCAAATAAACCAAACAACTCACAAGTTCTTCAATCTACAACCAAGTTATTTATAATCAAATATATGGGAGAAAAAATTAGAAACCACAAAGAAATATAGACGCAAAAAGAAAAATAAGAAGACCTGAATGAATAGATAATGAAAGATTATTTTCATTCATTACTTGAACTTTAATTTTTTTTTTTTTTAATGTTTTTTTGTATTCCTTAAATCATAAGTTAAGAGAGACTTCAAACTAAAATAAAATATTTTACGTGAAACGTGGGTGCAAACTGAGCGAAACCAGGAAACTTGAAAAGAACCGTTGAAAATCCATTAAAGTCGGTTAAAATTTAAATATAGAATTAGAGAGATCCTATTGGAAGTTAGGTTTGTATCAACTAGGCTAGCTGGTGCTAGTAGTAGTCTATGTCATTAGTACTTTGTTTTATGGCTTGACCTGTCAGGGCCATTTGGCCGTTGTTTTGATTATATCATCAGGGTTCGGGTCTTCTTGTATTGCTTCTTGAGATTATATTTTGACATTGTGCCATTTTATATTTTCGTTTGGGGAGCGGTGATCTCCGTTATGTCGTAACCTATCGGGAGATAGCGGGTGCCGGGTTCGCTCTTCGACAGATTTACGATTCAACAAGCTAATTATTTTAATCTGTTGAGTTTTGTTAAAACAAGTACTGATTTTTTAAAAAAATAACTGGCTATAGGTTATTGAACGTAATGCAAAGTTATTAGGTTAATTTGGTTGAAAAAAAACATACCTTTAAATAACACGTCTTTTTTAGAGGAAGAATACGGTTATTCAAGAAAACCGGTTACTTTGCTCCATGCTCTAGTAGCAAGTAGAAGCGCTCCTTCCGAGAATTTTAGAACAATTCGAGAAAACACATGCAATAGAGTATATAAGCCCGCGTAATCGGGCAATTGGGACAGTTGAGTTTGAAGTTTGAAATATTATCCCACGCGTTCTAAAATGCGAATCGGACGAATTTGAGGCGAAGGAAATTTTTCGGATGTACTTAACCAGCCGTTAAACGGTAGCTACTAAAATGCCGTTATATAGATATTGTGACGATCCCGTTTCAATGTCGGGACGAAAACAGTAATGCCTTTCTCTATATAGCATTTTGCAAGAGCACTTGTGGGTCAGTGGCTGAGGTTATCGCTTTGTAAGAGAATGGTCCGTGGTTCAAATCTAACGCCGACCAAGACTTTTTTTTTTTTTATACATTTTTTTGCTTATAGCGTGAAGTCTTCTGCATTGGTGTCACTCTTTTTGGTTGGAGTGGTTCAGTTATTTGGCGAGTTGGTTAGCCTGGTTATTTTGAGGGTGTTAATTCATTGGTTGGTTGGTTATTTGGTGGGGGTGGTTGGTTTTTTACCTAATTTATATTTGTTTTTTATATTTTTCTCAGTGTTTGAGTGGTTAGTTGCTGTTGGTTATTTGGTGGGGTGGATGGCGTTGGTTAGTCCTATAAAATTCCTTGATATTGTCAAAAGCCGTCAAGTGCGTTACATCAACGACGTCATACCTATAAACGGCATTTTAGTAAGCAACCGTTTAACGGCGGCAGTTTTAAGTACAGCCATAAAGTTTTATAGAACAGTTGTTTTGGTTTTAATTAGTCATTTGTGAGTAAATATAAATTTTTAGAAAAGAAAAATAAATTCCGTTAAGTATTTTTATCGTGATTTAAATTAGTGGACCCACGGAATCCGTAACAATATTTTTCTACTCGTAATAAATTCCTTGATATAATAATTTCTGAATATTTTTTAAAACGTAACTCGCTATGGAAAAACATTGTTTTATACATGACATAAAATACCATTTCATCGTCTAATAACTATTAATGGCTTACCTGTCATTGAATGTTATAGTAACATTAACACTAGCTAAAGTACTAGGTAGACTGAGTTGAGATAGTTCCCATGATATATGAGCATTGCAGAAATATTTCAGGTAGTAGTTGAATCCAGATGCAGCTGCTACTCCGGTGGTTCCAGTAATTTGAATCTTACCATCGTTTGTACTAACTAACTAAAAAAGATAAATGTCTAGATATTTAGATATTTAATTTTAAATATGGATTGTTTTGTACTACAAAGAGATTCTACTGAAGATTTTTACAATGAATAAAAAAACCTGTCAACAATTTTTAAGTCAAGGATTACTAAGCCATAGTTTTGAAAATAATAGTTATTTTTTATACAAAACGATAAAATGGTATTTTATCGTCGACCGAAAAGATTAATTCACGAGCGATGAAAGGTCTGTTCCCAGAAGAATCTCTGACTAGTCAGCGCGCCATGGCTAAAAGATTAAGTCTCTTTAGTTGTCAGTTTTGAGTCAATATTTTTTAATTCTCTTTCGTGTCGATTGCTGATTGAATTGGAGCCAGAAATGTCTCAAAACGAAATAAATAAATTACCAACAGATATTCAGGCTGAGGCGACAAACGCCATATCCAAACTACTTCCATTTAAATCACGAATAATTTATGAAAAGGAATACAAAAATTTTCAAAAATGGAAGCAATTAAAAAACGTGCGAGAAAAAATAAAGTTTTTAACCTATCCTCGCTGTTAAAGTATCATTTAATCGACCCTTGCGGTTAAAGTACTATTTTATCTACTATTTTTGATAGATATAAGGCAATTTTAACAGTTGGTATGGAAAAAAAAACTATTATCCTATTATTCTACTTACTTTAAACAAATCTTTACCATCTGTAACCAAGTCAGAATCAATGATCACAGTAAACTCACTGTATCTATCCGGTATAGTCCTTTTAATTAGATTTTCCACAGCTGTTTTTGTACTCCTGAAGTTGTTTTTGTTTTAATATGACCTAATGTGTGTTCGAATTCTGTAAAAATTTTGTAAAATATAAATAAAATTACGTAATTTGCACGAATAATAATACAATTTTCTTTATTTTATAAAGTGCTTTTCAAATTTGTTATCAAAATATTTTACTGAAGTAGTTAATGAATTTTATTTATTCATTTTTTCTAAAAAATCACATGAATCTATATTTCTAAATAAAAATTTGAACTCCTATCATTTTAATTTGGTAAATTCATTTGTAAAATATATTTAAAATATTAAGGAGAAGACAATGTATTTAAACAAATAAGTATACTCAATACTTACTGAATGCTGCTGCTTCATGGTTTATAAAAACTATAAAAACAATTAGTAAAACTGACCAAATGGGTTGCATTATTATGTTTTAGTGTTGTTAATGCAATATTCTTGAACCATTGATAATTCACTGCACGTAAACATAAACATATAAAAGGCTTCTTAAGAATAAATAGCTTCACAATATTCATTAATATTAGGAAAGATTAAAAGGCTTATCTCACTGTAGTTGGAGTGGACCGTAGATTGTCGATTGTTTAAATTATTCCTTGTTAAAAATGTTCAGTTCTCAGTAGCGTAGACACAGGATCTTTTGAGATCGTTTTAGATATAAAAAATTGAAAATAAAAAAATATGTTTAAATTTATTTGTTATCATTCTAGGTAGAAACAAAGGGCTCTTTCACAAAAAATAAAATACCCAATTCAAGGACAAAATCTGAAATAGAAGACTATTTTCAGTATGTTTATCCAAAAAAAAAATAGTTCCATGACATTGAATAATTTTTTATAGCCCCTCAAAATTGCTTTAATTTGAAATAATTTTAAAGTGCCAATTGATGACGTATGAAAAATACGCCCAATCACATTGCAGAACTGTGCTCGTGCGCCAGCCAATAACTGGCAACATTGCGATTTGATTTGACCAGCACCACCTCAACTCAAGGCGAATCAACATGATATGGGTAAGGCAAATATGGCAGCGAAGGGAGCGCATTATTAAATTGTTTACCTTTAACCTGAAAAGCAGGTAGTGGTTTCTCGTTCCGATTGTATACCAGAAATAATTAATTATCTCTAGTTTGTTGTGTTTCTGCAACACGTTTGTTTAGTTCTTAGTGTTCAGTGCATGGTGTGATCAGAAAATTGTGATAGAATAACAGTGTAATAAAAATCCAAACCAGACATTCCACATAGGGAACTTCAAACTTTTGTGCTTGTCGTACTCTCTATTATTATTATTTTAAGGTAAGAACTATAAGTATTTATCAACACTTTAGTTACCTCTCGGTGTCCTCTTTTATTTGTTTTTTATTACTTATAATGGGTTACTAATCGGATATAGGTACTTACAAGATGGGTGTGTATGTGTAACATTCTTTATAATTGCTTAGATACCATATTTTCACATGCTTCTCGTGTGTTCCTGAAGATCTCATGAGACTTATAGAGGGCTGGTCACCAAGTTTCTGTTTTATATTTCCCAAAAATGTAGGGGGGGGGGGGGGGGGGGGGGGGGGGGGTCGAGCATTCGTAGAAAAATGGTTGGCAGCTATTAAAAGAGATAAATTTCACTCCTACTGTAGTTCTCGGGTACAAAAAGTGGCATTAAATATGCCTCAAAAAGGCCCCAAAGCCTCAGTTACCCTAGTGAGGATTAGTAGTTACTGGTTACTGCTTCTACACATTACCCATCTCACTCATATATTGTGATGAAATAGCTCCAAATTAGCTTTTTTACATCAAAAGATCACAGAAAGATATTGACAACATGGACATTTGAAAAATAAATTGCCTGTGGCATGTAAGTGTCTTTTTTTTGATACGGGTCCGACAATTGCTCACATAACGTAAACAGAATATATATATAAGTCCATCTTGTTCAGATTCTCATATCCAATATTTTATTGCAGAACTTATGCAAAAAAAAAGAAATACGCCTCTTACCACAAAGACAATGCCCTATGTAAAAGAAAGAGTAAAGAAAACTAAGCTAAGCGTAAGTTTTATTTACGAACCCCCAAAAAGGTATTTCAGTTTTTTTTTTTTCTATATAAAATTTTGAAACACATATTATATTTTTTATTTATCCTCAAAACTATAACATTAAAAAAATAAAAAAAAAAAAAAAAAAAAAAAACGTAGAAAAAATATTCCATATTTTTTTGACCCAAGCCAGTGTAGTTTAAATTCCAAGAGCATTTACTAAGGCTTTTACTAAGACAATTAACTTCCTATACTGTCCATATAATATATATTTATCAAACGTTCAGTAAATTCTAAACTATCGTAGGTAAGTGTTTGCAATGGAATATCTGGGGGAGAGTGCTAGTCGGGCCGGGCAGGAGGATCAGCGACGGGTTGAGTGCGGTGGCCGATGGAGTGGCGGACACCTGGCAGAGAGGCGTACCGCAAGGGGGAAGGCAGGGGAACACGACCGACTGGCGCGCGAGGAGACGGGCTGAGAAAAAGGAACGAACGGAGGGGTGACATGAAAGACTGGAAGAATACAAATTAAAGGCAGGCAGACGAGGGGGAGAAACGGGAGAGCCCGGGAGAGGAAAAAGGAGGGAAGAGGACGGGAAGCGGAACCCGACAGGGTGGGGAAAAAGGGGAGGGGAAAGAAAACAGGGGGAAAGACGCGCCAAGAAACACGTCGAGCGGCCACCAGATGGGAGTGAAAGATGTGTAGGGCCGTGGGGAGGGTGGGGGGCCCAGCCGGGCAGGGGGGCCGCGGGGCCACAAGGCCAGGGGGGACGAGGAAAAAGAATGGGCGGATGGGGGCGAGGCGGGGGGGTGGGAGGAGGGGCGGAAAGAGAACGACGCGCAATCCGGGGCGAACGGAGAGACGCGAGGGAAAAGGCGCAAGAGTATATGGACAGAGGAGGCAAGGAGGCGAATGGCCACAGAGAGGGAAAGCCCAGGGAGGGCGACGAGCAGACCCGCACAGCGGGGCGGGGCGAAAGGGCAGGGAGGGGGCAAGGCCCGAGGAGAGGGAAAAGGGGCCGCAGAGCCAAAGGTGTGCACCCGCGCTCAGACCCAGACCCAAAAGGAGCAATAAAAAGGGGGAGGGAAGGGGGGGAAAGAGTAAAGCCAGGTAACCCGGCAGAGCGAGAAGCAAGCAAGACGCACGGGGGAAGGGAAGAGAGGCGAAAAGGGGAAACAAGGGGGGGGAAAGGAAAAGGAGGGAAGGACGAAGAGGAGAAGCGTGAAAAGGAGGGGGATAGAGGGGGAAGCGTAGGAGGCGGGAAGGGAGAAAAGGAGAGAGGGGGAGGAAGGGGGGAGGAGAAAAAAAGGAAAAAAAAAGGGGGGCCCAAAAAAGAAAAAAGAAAAAAAGTGTGGGGTGTGGACCACCCGTAGGACGGAGGCGGGAAAAAGGAAATAACACCGACGGCAAACGGGAAGAGACAGAGAAAGGGAAGCAAAAGCGGGGGAAGCCGGGGCGGAGGAAGAGGATAACAAAAAGCGAGGAAAAAACAACGCCGAGGAAAAAAGAGGGGGTAGGGAGACAAGGGGAAAGGGAGGGGGCGGTGGTAAGGGTAAGAAAGAAAAGAAAACAGGGGGCCAAAAAATAGAAAAAGAAAGTGTGCGGGGGACCACCGGAGCACGGCGCAAGGGGAGGAAAAAGGAAATAAACAACCGACGCGCAAGGCCGACGGAAGAGACACAGAGGACAGGGCGGAAGGGGAGACACAAAGGAGGTGGCGGGGCAAAGGAAGAAACAGACAGAAGGCAGCCATGGGGGAAGAGAGGGAAGAAGAAGAACAGGAAGAGAAGGAGGAAGGCCCAGGGAAGAGAGAAAAAGATGTGGGACCAGGGGGAGGAGGAAGAAAAAGAGAGGGGAAAGGGAGAAAGAAGGAACGAAGACGGAGGAGAGAGGAGGGGAGGGAAGGGAGGAAAGATCAAATGGAGGACGACGACACAAGCGAAACACGCAACAAAGGGGGGGAGGAAGAGAGAAGAAGAGATGGGGAGAGAGGAAGGAAACCCAGAAAAAAAAACGGAAGAAGAGGAAGGCGAAAGAGAGGGAGTGTCAAAGGGGGAGAACATAAAACGGGAGCGCCCGCGGGGAAGGGGCCGGGGGGGATGACGGGCAGAGACAGCCCAGAGGCGGAAGAGGGGAACGGACCGGGACGAAGCCGGCGACCGAAAAAGCAGAAAAAAAGGAGAGAAGAGGGCGAGAGGGGGGGGGCAGGCGGCAGGAGCACCCGGGCCGAAGAGGCGAAAGGAGAGGGGGGGCGGGGAACGAAAAGAACGGCGGAAGAGCAACTAGGGGGGACGAAAGCCGGAGGGAGAGGCAGGAGGGGGGGAAAGGCGCGAGAACGGGGGGAGTAGGAAGGAGAAGAGAAACAGGAGGTAAAAAGAAACAGGGGGGGGAGGGACGGGGCGGAAGGTGGGGAAAGGCGGTGGCGGGGCAGGGGACCAGGCGGGAGAGAACCGGGGGCTCGAGACAGCGCAAGCAGTCCAAAGCACCCGGGGGCGAACGGCACCCAACGGGAAGGGAGGCCCAGGGAGCGGCGGCAAAAAGCGGCGGGGCCCGGCAAAACAGAGGGAGGAGGGAGAGGTCTATGGGGCGGGGGCGGGGAGGGGGCGGAGGGGGCACCGGCACGAACAGGGGGGGCGAAAGGGGCGAAACGAGAGCGGGGGGGGGCGGGAGGGGGCGGGGACGGCATCAACGGAGGCGGGGGGGAGGAAGGGAGGGGCGCCAAGCGGCTGTGTAAATAGCCCGTAAAAGGGTAATGGGTGTATGGGAAAAACGAAGGGAGAAGGAAGAGACGAGAACCGAGCAACTGGGGCGAGAGAAGGAGGAAGAAAGCGGCACGGGGGGA